GAAGGTATAGAGGAGCGGGATGAGGAAGGTATAGAGGAGCGGGAGGATGAAGGTATAGAGGGAGGAGCAGGATGAGGAAGGTATTGAGGAGCGGGATGAGGAAGGTATAAAGGAGCAGGATGAAGAAGATATAGAGGATGAGGAAGGTATGAAAGTGTTACAGAGCTCACTATTTTGGTACAATCCTTAAGATCAGATATTGCGAGTTTGAGAACTGAAGGAAAAGACTTAAAGATTGAGGTCCAAGAACTCAACATCAAGGATGAAGTAATAAAGATACAAGAGGACGTGAGATGTTTGAAAAAAGGTAACAATGAATTGAAATCGAAGTTAGACGTCAATGAAAATTATACAAAACAGAAGAATATCATATTATATGGACTGAAAGAGACACCAAGTGAAAGATATGAAGATTGTGAGAGGTTAGTTAGAGATATATTATCAGGTGAATTCAAAATTGCCGGGACAGACTCAGAACGTGAAATTGGGATTGAGCGATGTTATAGACTTGGAAAGAAAAAATCAGATTCAACAAGACCTAGGCCAGTGTTAATTATGTTCAATAGACTAAAGGACAGAGATTATATATTAAAGTGTTCAAGAGCTTATTTGAAATCTATTCAGAATAATCAAATTGATAAAAGGCCAGGTGATCAGCTTTCAATCAGTGAAGACTACACCCTCTTGGTACGCATGAGAAGAAAAGCGCTCATTCCGAAACTTATTGAAGCGAAAGAAGCCAATACTGAAGTGAGGGCTTTTCTAAATCACGACAAACTGGTTATTGGTAACGACAGATTCACCTATGATCTCGACTCTTGCCAAATAGTTAAAATAAATCAGCCCAGAATATAGCAGACAATTAATGCAACGCTCAATCAGTCCGTTGTATTAACAGAAAATTTGAAGTGTATATTATGGAACATTGAAGGATTACGGAGTAAGCTGTGCACAATTATGAAACTATTTCGGAACTTATTATCAACTGTGACATCGTTGGTTTTGTGGAAACATTTCAGAAATCCGAGGGTAACTTCGAAGATGATTTTGAGAATTTTAGAGTGTTTGAAACTATTAGAAAATGTGAACAATTTAAAGCGTCCGATAGTGTTGTACTTCTTGTAAAGAAAAACTTAGCGAGTTTAACTGAAAGGATTGTATTCAAGACTGATTATGAGGAGATGATTTGGATACGCCTGGGACTCAAGAAATTTGGTCGTCCCAAAAACTTAATTGTTGGTATTGTGTACATTCCCCCAGAAGGATCAATTTTCTACAACGACAAAAATGTGAATTGTGGTGTTAGATTACTTGGATGTGCTCTGTACGAAATCGAAAACATGTACCCAAGCGACGACGTAATAATATTGGGTGACCTCAACTCTAGAATAGGAAGAAAACAAGATTTTGTAGAGGAAGCCAAAACAAAGCATAATCCTTTCTTACAATCGTTTTACGAATCCAGTGTAAATGAAGCAACGCCCGTTCAACGAAATAGTAAAGACAATCAAACCAACACATTTGGGAATCAACTTATTGAACTGTGCTGTGATAACGATTTCATTATTTTAAATGGTCGCACACCAGGCGATCCGTTGGGCAATTATACATACGTGAGCAGCACTGGGGCTAGTGTGATCGATTTGGCGTTAGTGAAACCAAGGATGCTAAGTGATGTTTCCAACTTCACAGTTCTGGATACGGATATTTCCAAACATTTTCCAATATCATGTTCAATTTCATTCGGCGAAACTAGCTGCCAAGACAATGCGCTATAGGTGGAAAGCCTAAAATACTGTCGATTTTTGTCAAAAGATGCAATCGCCAGATGTCGAGGCCCGGCTGCTAGATCTCTATGGAGTAATCAACACTGATATTGACGGGGCTGTTTCAAAATTAAATGCAATCCTACAGGAAGTTGGACGGGCTTCAGGGATGTACGTCGTTAATAGGAACCAACGCAAGAAATCCCAGCCGTGGTTCGATGATGAGTTAAGGCAACAACATACCAAAAAAAAACACAGAATTAAAATCATTTCGTGTGACAAATTCAACTAGTGATCTTGAACAATATATTGATACCAAAAAAATCTTTAAAACTATGTGTGATGTGAAAAAACAACGACATATGGAAAATATACAAACCGAACTTTTAGGTGCTTGTGAACGCAAGGACTCCAAAGAATTCTGGTCCACCTTGAAACGGTTTATGAACCCATCAAAATCCACAAATCAAAACATTGATGACGAAGAGTGGTTCTCATACTTCAAAAATTTGTTAACCCAATAATCGAAGAACGTGACATTTCTTTTGATAACCATGTGGCAAACACTTTACAGAATCACA